CCCGCTCGAGAGCGGCTGGGATGACGCGGGCTGTGCGTGCTTGCTGCAGCAGCTCAGGGAGGTCGCCGCCACCCGCGACGCGCAGGCGGAGGAGCTGCAGCAGCTGAAGCAGCAGCTCGTATCAGCGCGGGAGGCGTGTGCGGCGACAAGTGACCTGTGCGCCCTCGCGCAGGGTGAGCAGCAGCGCCTGGAGGATGAGGAGAGACGGCTCCACGCCGAGCTCGCACAGGCAAAGACAGCAATAGTGGAGTCTGACGCCCAGCTTGGGGGGCTTCTTGAGCAGGTGGAGAGTGTTATCCCGCGGTTGTGCCAAGAACTCTCGGTGGATACAGCAGCAGTTCCAGTAGCACCTGCAGAGTTGCGTGCCTCTCATGCAGGGAAGCGTCTCGTCGATGCGTGTAACGCTGCTGACGTGCGACTTTGTGATCTTGCAGCAGAACTTGGTGCCCTGAAGGAGTGCAAAGCGGGTCTGCAGCACGATTTGGATGAAGTAATGCGATCCCTCCACGAGGCCGCGCGGCTCGCGGGAGCAGAAGTGCCCGATAACGCCTCGCAGCTCGCTGCAGTCGTGCAGGATAAGCTGCGGCAGGCGCTGGAGAAGAGTATGAGCCTCGACACGACGGCAGATGCGCTGCGCAGCGAGGGCGCAGAACTAGCGGCATCCCTCGCATCCGCCGAGAGCCGTCTTCAGAAGGCGGAGGCGCAGGTGCAGGAGCTGACACCGCTGCTGCAACAGCTGAACACCGAGCGCGACCTGTTGCGGGAGGAACTGCATGCCCGTACTGCCGATCTTGACCGTGTCACGGAGACGTGCGCCGCCAGACAGGTGTCCCTCACGCAACAGTCGGAGGAGCTGCAGCAGGCACGCGAGAATTTGGGTGCCGCGACGAGCAGCAATGCTGTGCTGGAAGAGAAGCGGCAGGGACTTGAGGAAAAGCTGCACTCTGTGACGGATGAACGTGACAGTTTGCTGAAGGCCTCGGAGGAACTTGTTGGGCGTGTGCAGAGTGTGTTGGACGATCACGTGGAAGTGCAGCACGAGCTGCTCCCTGTCGACAATGGCGAGAATGATGACGTCACCGTGGCGGACATTGTGCAGCTGTGTGTAGAGCGCCTCGAACAGAACCGTCTGGAGGCGGGCGTGTCAAGTGATCGCCTTGTCTCCCTGCAGCGGGAGAACGCCGCGTTGGTGGGCGAGCTGCAGCGCTTGGAGGAGGAGGCAGCAGTAACAGCAAATGAGATTGCGAAGCTGCAGGGGCAGATGCGCCTCGTGCTGGACGGCCGCCAGACAGAGCAGGCCGATCAATCCAAGCAGGCAGCAGAGCTCGACAGCTTACGTCGCCAGTTGCAGACATTATTTGCTGACGCGCTGCACATGGCGGCCGATACGATGCAGCTACAGCTGCCCCTCTTTACAGACACGAGCACTACCGGCGCATTGCAAGGACTCCGCTCGCTGCTGGACTACATTGCGGAGAAGTTCCGCACTAATACCGTCCCCGACGACGAGACGGAGGCGCTGCGGCGACGGCTGCAGGAGCAGGAGCGGCAGTACGCAAAGGAGTTGCGCAGCCTCTATCGCGCCTTCAGTGATCACATTGAGCCGTACACCCGCACCGCTGCTGCTGCTGCTAGTGGTAGCGGTGGTGTTGTGGCTGTTGTTGGTGGTGAGGCGAGCGACAATGGCGAGGTTCGCCGCCTCACACCGCAACGCATTGCCGCCGCGGGTGAGGCGTTGCGCCGCGCCCATAGCGATGTGCGCCACGCGGCGAAATTGTGCATGCGCCTGACGGCCGCCGAGGTGCCGCCGCACATGCGCAGCATGCCGCTCGCTGCGCTAGCGGCGTGTCTCGGCGAC